TTTTTACAGTAATGCCAGATAGAATAACTATTTTTGTTCAGTCAACAATTCTTAAAAGAACGTTTTTTTCTTAAAGTGAAAAACATTTTTAAAATTCTTTACATTGTTCAACTATACATAATCTTTTGTTGAATAGAAAAGTTCCAAGGATGTTAAAGTTTCTTCATGAACCATGAACCAAGCCCTACTGTTGACAGAGAGATCATGCATACCAGATTTGTATTTGATAATGACATTTAAGCGAAAATACATAATCAGATGATCAGCACACATACTGAATCTGTAAATAAAACATATTTTTTAATGTTTTTCTTTTCTTACTCTATAAATGTATGATCTGTAAAAGATACTGATTATTTTAAGTTTACTTTACTTTTTTATTCATCAATTAATTGAAGACTGGTGTAATGATGCTGAACTTTCAGGGTACTGTCCATCCCGTATTCCACCATCAGAAATCTGGTCACTCCATTGAGCGTGTCGCGAGCCTAGCTGTCATATCTGTGTTGTGTCATGAACGATTCAGTCACAAGAACAAAAGAACCAATGAGATTCAAAGTAATCGAAGTGGAGCTGACGTGGTAGCATGTTGAATGTTCTTCAGTCATCAGTAATGTTGACATTCAAACACATTACAAAGCTTGGAAGAGCCAGGATATTATTAAATATCTCAGATTGTGTTCAAGTGAAGAAACGAAGTCATACACATGTTGGCTTGTTGGTGATGGGGTAATTTTAAATCTGTTTGATGACTTCTGTTAATTGGTGAAAAGCACTCAAAAGGTGAAATGTTTGTTTCACAGGAACCCAAAGGTCCTACACCAACTATAGTGTTGAACGGCTCTCCTGATCCCCTCAAGGCGGAAAGTGTCAGCATTATAATGGACAACGTGAACATTAAAAGAGCGGCAGACATTGCATGACACAGGCTGTGGAATGCATGTTTGCTGTCTATTTTCTTTTCAATGTGCAATATCCGGTTGACATTAAGCACACAATGACTTTTATTCAAAAATATATGCTTAAACTTAGACAAGAGCATGACACAAGAACACCAATACCTGTACTAAAAATGGACAGTCAACTTATGTAAATTGTAGTGCTATTTAATAGATGTTTTAATTGTTCATTTATTATCTGCATTGTCAAATATCAAAAATGATTTGTTTTTCCTTATTTCAGAGATACATGTACAAGTTCTGTATGTGTGCATATAGTACATAAACAAACTTATGTATGTTTATTGCAAAGGGAAAATGCTTGAAATTATTTCATTTAAATGCTTAAATTAAATAATTCAAACTAAATGGTTGAATGTAATTAAACACCTTAAATGTAAAAAAGTTTTGCTGTCTAATACAGAAAGGTGGAATTTTAAATATGACACTTATATTTTTGTAATCAATTGAATAAATTGAAACTTTTTCAATTTTCTGGATTGGTTATATTTTCTTATTCAATAATAATTAGCTCGTTTAATAATAAGGAACCCTTAAATGGTTCCATATAGAACCATCTAACTTGATTCAAAGAACCATTTGGGGTTATTTTTATGGAACTCATTAAAATGGTTCTTTATATAACCATTTTGGAGTTCCATATATGAAGTGGGTGATGGAACCATTTCTTTTAAGAGTGCATCCACTCGAACAGTTTTGCAGTATTACACAACACTCCAAAGTGAAACTCCACCTATTCATTCAGTCTCTTTGAGAGAATTACAATGACGACTGATGTCATGCGATTTTGGCAGCATAAATAGTGATCAGAATCAATCTGTGAGACAGACTGCCGGTTTAATTCACGCAGGCTTTGATAACAATCACACTGCAGTAATGTCAAACCTTGGAGGATGGAGCCCAGAGAAGCCTGTCTCTGAAGAGGTGGAGAAGATCTGCATTAAGGTAGGAGACTGAAAATCAGTTTTTGTTAAAACACAGCCTAGTAAAATTATATATTTTAATGCTGTAAAATGTGTTGGGAAAATTAAAAAAGCTCTGTATTACAAATTTGTTGTCATTTTTAAAATACTTTTCACACAAAACATTTCACATGAGTTGTCTGATATCTGAGTGATAGACGTAAGTCCCTAGAGACTAATAAACTTTTTGTTAAAATAATAATACAGATGAATATATAAAATGTGTATTTGTTTATGCAGGTGAAGTCAGACATAAAGGAGGCTGGAGTCCCTTTTGAGGTTTTCATTCCAAAAAGCTGTAGGTTCCAGGTTGTGGCAGGAATAAACTATCTGGTCAAGGTAAATGAAAAAAGTTTTTCATGGATTTTGAGCTTGATGTTTTCATCACTGTCTGAAACTTCCAAGGCACAATTTCTATGTTTCCAATATCAACACGCCAACTGTGGAAGTGTGTCCTAAACGGGTGTGAGGTGTCCAGTAATTTGTCTGTCCTTTTCTGAAAGTTAAAATGCATCAAGTCACTGTATAAAGTTTCTCTGCATTTGTTGCCTATAAGAGAGAACTTTTCTCAACTTTGAAGCATTGCTGGACCTGGACACCAAAATCTAGTCGGCAATGTCACTGCCAGAATTTGAGGGAATTTGCTTGCTGGTATGGAAAATTAATGCGTTTTGGTCGCTATCAATGTGATTGTGAACAGATTTTTACGTGAAAGAGATCCATTATAAACCCATGTCTCTCTCTCTCTCTCTCTCTCTCTCTCTCTCTCTCTCTCTCTCTCTCTCTCTCTCTCTCTCTCTCTCTCTCTCTCTCTCTCTCTCTCTCTCTCTCTCTCTCTCTCTCTCTCTCTCTCTCTCTCTCTCTCTCTCTCTCTCTCTCAGGTGCGCGTTGGAGAAGATCTGTTCGTTCATGCGATGATATTTAAAGCTCTCCCCGGCAATGGAGATAAACTGACTGTGTTTGGAGTCCAGTTCCCTAAAACCCCCAGTGACCCTCTTATCCCCTTCTGAACACTTCTAACCGCATGCAGAAAATAGTCTGTCTGATATAATAACAGACACACAATGAGGTGCCATAGGAACTACAGAAAACTGTTTCATTCCTCTATTAAACTCTGTAGTCAAACCCTCAGTGCCTGTGTCAGTGTGTTTATATGAACAACACCAAATTTACTTTACTAAATATATTTTATGCTAAAATAAAATAATGTAAAATGACTAATTTTTCTGTTGACTGTCTGGCGGGGAATTCCATGGAACTATTTCAATGGTAGATCATTACACTCAAGGTTATTTCACAGTTAAATATTCATTGAGCTTTTATTTGTCCTTCAATTTGAGGTCAAATCAGCACGTTCTGCCTCTCCTTGGAATTTTATCATCACATTTTGATGATAAAAAGTGATTGAACGACCTAAAGTAAAGTCATTGACACATCTGTAAATATAAACATTACATTTGTAAAATGTTAAATAACATGGTCTTTTCTAGTCATTCTTGTTAACACTTTAAAGGTAAAGCCACTAGATTTTAATTTTTTTTAAAACGTTCTAAATCACAGAAGTAGCGCAATGCCTGGCCACGCCCACTTCCGGCATCAGACGGTTAGGCTGGCGCTGTCATCTTCACACTGCTATGACGTATGGTTCTGCGGTTCTGCAGTCGGACCTATCTCGTAAAATGAGCCTATTTCCAAAAAAAAAGTGGAGTATCCCTTTAAGAGCGATTCGGGACTGATCTGAGAGCAACTCTGAGCAAGGAGAAGACAAAAACTTTCATCTTAGTGAGGAGACGGGTTGACCCCGTTGCTATGTGTGACACAATCTTTGGAAGACTGTGATTGGTTGGTTGTCCAAGAAGGAAAAAAAGAGTGATTTTAACTATATTATTTAGATGAGGTAGGCTAAATTAAACGCAATACTCACGTATACTGCTCGATGAAGAATGAGTCAACACAATGAATGTCTCTGTTGCTGGATGTCGTGAAGTTCGAGAGTTTGAGAACCTCTGCTTTGGTTATTTTTGAAAATGTGCTGAAAAAGTAGCTTGTCACCAATTCTCACAACATATCACATGCACATTAATTTTAAATTATTGAAATTAGACTTTATGAGATTTAAGAAGATTTAAAATTTTATGAATTTTAATTGGTTGCAGACCATAAAGTTCAGCGCAATGTGACGTCGGAGTGATGTCTTTTCTATGTAATTTTTGGACGTCCAATGTCGGTCCACTGAAGGGGTTGTTTTGTAACGCCAGACGACGTATTTTTCCGACGTCTATGTCTAATGTTGACGTTCGTGGGACCTCCGTGTAAGGGTTATTTATAGTCCAAATGTGGTCGTTTGTGGACCTCTTTTCAACATCAAATTTAGTTTTTATACAACTTCTATAACTTTAGTCCCATGTTTCAAAAGGGCGTAGGACATGTTTTCTGTACAATGTATTTACATTTATGCATTCGGCAGACACTTTTATCCAAAGTGACTTACATTGCATTACACATTTACATTCCTATCAGTTCTTGCTTTCCCTGGGAATCGAACCCATGATCTTGGTGTTGCTAGCGCCAACGCTGTACTGTTTGAGCTAAATATAAATAATCTGCATTCATATGTATTAATCACTGAATTGATAACAACAATGTTGATATTTGTAAATAAAAAAATATTACATATTAATCATGTAAATTTCCTGCACCTGTCATAGACGTCCAAATGACGTCCAAAAAATGACCCAGTTCAAAGGTCAAATGTCAATATGACGTCTAAGTTGGGTCATGGTTGGACGTCCAAAAAGTGGACCTAGTTTGGACGTCGAATAGATGTCCAGAATTGGTCATGGGCCGACGGACCCAATATAGACATGATCTGCACGTCTCCGACATCCAATGTTTAGTGGGTAAGCTCTTGCAGAAACAGCATTCTGAATTTCACATATTATTTTGTAAATCCCTGTTATTATACTCTTCTTCCATAATCAGTGTGGTCAATGCTCGATCAGGAATTCATCGTCTAATCGTGTATTTCAGAATGTGTGTTTCAGTTAGTTGGGAAAACATACATGAGCAACAAATCATGTGTCGCTGGATCCATTTATGGTGACACAATCATATGGCATTAAAACAAACAAAGTCTATCATAAACAATCTAATATTTATTGAGTCCTTGTGAAATATATAAACACATCTGTTAGATTTGATGAATACAGTTTTGGTCTGTGCTGTAATTTTAACAGTCAAGTGCCGTATACTCATAATCATAGTCTTGTAGGTCCTTGACGGAGCTGAAATAAGCTTAATTCCTCTGTTGTCAAGTTTCATGCTCGACTCTTTCTGTTCACAGATCTTCCCGCTGAAGCCACTCGCTGAATCCTCCGGCGTAATGACGGGCCCTGAGAGACACACAGAGACACGGATGCCTGACTTTAGTGTCTGTGAGTCAGTGAGGATGAATCCAATGAATAATCATGACTTGCTTAGGTTTTTCTGATTACCGGATGAGGATTTAAATCATAAAAAAATATATATTTGCAATATTTACAGAGCTTTTTCTAACCAATTAAATAATTTCGAGCAAAGCATAATTGATCAGGCCATTGACCATTTCCAGGCCTGACATTTTTTTAACTTCCCTGATATAGCCAGGTTAATTTTCAATGATCAAATGAAGAAAAACAAACACAAGTCATAATTGTTCAAATGCATTATATTCAAACAACCATTCATATATAAAAAAAATGGAGGGACACCATATCATAGAGGGAAACTCTCTTAAATGAACCCTACAATATCAAATTTGAATATGCAAAATATAATAACATGATCAAAACTCGATCTACTACATTCCTTCTGTGGTCTGATTGATAGTTTATTATTTTTAGCAAGTAAAAGGCCTTTTAGTAAAATTGTACAAAATATATCAATAATAACTTTGATATTGTTAGTAATATTTGAAGATGAACAATTACTGCACTGTAGTAGTTTAGGTTAACTTGATAATCCATTCGATATTAGAAAAATCATGTTAAAATGTGAGTCTCTGTAACGTGGTGCGGTGAAGGAAGATAGGAGGCTGGATCCAAACGCAGTTTACACGCTTTATTTAAACAAACTATAACTCAAACAGAGACTCAGAACTTGGAACAGGAACGACCAACACTCACGTTAATCCTGAAACATATACAACAACTCACAAAGACAGGGCAGAAACACAGGGCTTAAATAATAAGAGACACACGAGCTAGACAGGATAACAAGGGGGCGTGATAAATGGGAAACACCTGGGAAAACTAATGACAAGACAGGGAACCACTAAACATGACACAAGACCCACATTATGACAGTCTCACACTCAAATATGATCATTAAGCTTTTAAGGAAAGTTTATTTGGTCATCTCTGTCATCTTTGAATTATGTGTTTTAAAACTACAGAGCTTTGATCATAAAACTTTTTTAAAAGCATTTAAATATCATCTTACTAAGACGTGTTATTGACAGAACTGATGTTTATATGCATTTTATGTAAGTATCTGCTGTACTGTTATTAAGATCTGTTTGATTTACATTACAAGCATCAGAATTTCATCTTACTTTTTGGCCTTATAAATAATCAGCATCTGCAGCAAAATGAGAATTTCAGCAGCAATTGTTAAATGTGTTTTTTTCCTCCTTAAGTGTGAGATCCATATTCTCACTACATCATGAGTGTTATGACCCTATGGTTTGTTTATGGGTTTTGTTTTCTTTGTAGGAGCGTCTGATTGGCTCCTGCAGGCTGATTGATGCTGTGTCCTGATTGGTGCACAGTACTTTATAAAGCACATCATCACTTCCTGTAGAGACAGCTTGTGTTGTGAGCAGAGAGAGTTGCATTGGAGGCAGAGTTTGTATGTGTGTGTGAAGAGAGTTTTAGAGACTGTGAGTAATGATTGTTTGTGTTTGGTGTATTTGCTTATTTTCTGACACTGATTTCAGATTGCCCTCTAAATTTGTCAATAACACTTGGCTTTGTAAATATATTGTAAATATTGAGGATTGGAAAGTAAGGAGTCTGATGGCATTTGTTTATTGTGAACTTTTCTGGCGATGCGGTTTAGTGACGGGCACTTTTGAAACGCGCTTCATGAAGATTCAAAACCTTTGCGAATCATTTGTTTTGAACCAGTGAATCGAAGTGTATATCAAGCTGCCAAAATCACATGGCTTCAGTAAATGAGGCTTCATTACGTCATACTTTTTGAAATTTGCATAGTCTCTGTGTACGTTGTAGTTAAAGGTCTCTTATTGATTACTGATACTGATTTAACCAAACTCTCCATAGAACAAGCCCAACAATTCAATAAAATGACACATAAAGACACTTCATATTTAATGGTATATGATGATTGTTTCATCTAATAGATAAAATAAAACCTCTGCAATGGGCTTTATGCACAGCTGCACTACTTCCTGAACTTTAGCCAGCTCCTTTGTTTCCTGTCTGCCATTATTGGACAAACTGATTTATCCAGGTGTGCCTGGCCTCAGTAACAATAACCAGGCACACCTGGATTAATCAGTTTGTCCAATAATGGCAGACAGGAAATAAAGGAGCTGGCTAAAGTTCAGGAAGTAGTGCAGCTGTGCATAAAGCCAATTGTTTTGTAGCCTAAAAGGTTTTTTTTTTTTTTTTTTTTCATGTTGAGTTTTTCCTGCATTTACACCGTTGTGACCAGCAGGGGACGCCAGTGTGTGGCGATTTAAAATTGATTCAAAGTTTAAAAAAGTTTTGTTTCTCCCATTACTAAGACCATTGTGTTGGTGCATTGTTTTTTCTTTTTGTTAGATTTAGGAAAGGGTGATAAAACTAACAACGTTTTATTAGTTATTTTGGCTTTGTCATGTCTTTCATATTGCACCCTTTTCCTTAGATGGGGTGCAGCACTGAGCTATAAAAGCCTTATGTATCAAATATGATCCAAAAAGCTTTGCAAACTATTTTTAGTTTGTTTTTGTTGTTTTTTTTTTTTTTTTGTCTAAAGGTTCAACAAATTGTTCCAAGTTTAAAATGTGTGTGTGTGTGTGTGTGCCTGTTTAACTATATTTTGGGGGCAAATTTGTACCCAGAAGTGACCAAAACCTCCATTTAGGCGTCCTCATTTGTAAATCTGGTATAGAAAAATAAAGTAATTAAAAGGGTTTTTTTAATGCAGAAAGTTGTGTGATGGGTAGGTGTAGGGGTAGGGTTGGTGTAAAGGGAGAGAATATACAGTTTGTACAGTATAAAAACCATTACATCTATGGTTGTCCCCATTTAGATAGCTAAGTAAACGTGTGTGTGTGTGTACCTTGTGTATCCCAGAGCTCTTGCGGTCTCCAGCGCAGTGAGGCTGCGTATCCCTCTCACACAGTACAGCACAAAGTCTGAGTCTTCTTTGTGAGGCTTTGTGACGCCGTAGAGCTCTCTAAACTGATCTGGGCTCAGTCTGAGGGCCTGCTCCACCTCTCCCACTACATCAACAAAAGTACTGTCACTCATGAAGTGTGTGTGTGTATAGAGCTGAACTGTGTGACTTACAAGGAATATTGGTTGCTCCTGGAATGAAACCTGCTTCCAGCTCATGCGGCTCGCGGACATCGACGAGCTGGACGCTTCCAGTGGACATCATGAGCTTCAGCTGCTCGTACGTCACCACACCGTCTGAAACACACGACGCGTGAGTGTCCACAATCTACTGCTGATCATTCATATCCAGTCTGTTCTATCTATTGTATATGAAACAGTCATTACACACTCATCACTGGGTATCTGATATTTTGGTTATTGATAAATCCAGATATATGAACTACAGCTCTAAAAAGGTTCAAGTGATTTGCCAAAACTATATTTCAAACCTAACAAATTTTTTGGGGGGATGGTAAAAAAAAATTCAAAGAAGCCTCTTCTGCTCACCAAACCTGTATTCATTTGATCAAAATCACTGTAAAAACAGAAATATTATGATATATTGCTGCAATTTATTTTCTACTTAATTTATTCCTGTGATGAAAGCTGTATTTTCAGCATCATTACTCCAGTCTTCAGAGTCACATGATCCTTCAGAAATCACTCTAATATGATGATTTGCTGTTCAAGAAGCATGTATGATTATTATTATCAGTGTTAAAAACAGTTGTGCTGTTTGATATTTGTCCGTTTATTGTTTTAGGATTCATTGATTAATAGAAAGTTTAAAATAACTGTATTTAGCCTATTTAAAATAGAAAAATCTTTTAAACATACACTACCGTTCAAAAGTTTGGGGTCAGTGAGAATTTTATTTTTATTTTTTGGAGGAAAGAAATCAATACTTAATTTGATCGAAAGTGACAGTAAAGACATTTATAATGTTACAAAAGATTCTATTTCAAACAAATGCTGTTCTTTTGATCTTCCTATTCATCAAATAATCCTAAAAAAAAAAAAAAACTGTACAATTGACAGACCAACAACTGTTTCAACATTGATAATAATAATAAATGTTTCTTGAGCATCAAATCCTCATATTAGAGTGATTTGTGAAGGATCATTTGACACTGAAGACACTGACACTGGTGATGCTGAAAATTCAGCTTTGAGAAAAGGTCCCCATGGAAATGCCCCGCTGAAACCATTCTGCCACGGTCCATGGCTGCAGAGCTGTGATACAGGTCTGCGTTACCTTTATCAGCTGGCGGCCCGTGGTCCACGCGCGGTGAGACACACGGCTCTTCAACCAGAGCTGAAGCGAGCGCATGCGCAGTAACCCCAGCTGGAGCACCGCGGAGGCTGAGGCCATGTAACCCAACGCCTTCTGAAAAGTTTTTAGCGGTGTGAGTCTGTTCATCTGAAAAGATGCGGCAAGACGCTGAACACGGCGCGCACGCTGTGTTGACAGACGAGCCGTCAACGTGACCGAGTCTAGCTCTATACCCAAGAAGGAGATAGTCTGACTGGGTTGTAGTGCGCTCTTTGTCCAGTTGACAGAGAGGCCCAAAGCTTTCAGATGGTCGAGGAGAACTGTATGATGAGACAGTAGCTCTCTCTGTGATTGTGCCAAAATCAGCCAGTTGTCCAAATAGTTCAGTATTCGCAGCCCCTGACTCCGAAGGGGGGCGAGCGCCGCGTCCATGCACTTCGTAAATGTGCGGGGTGCTAGGGACAGGCCGAACGAACGGGAGGACGGTGTATTGATAAACGTGGCCTTCGAAGGCGAAACGTAAGAATGGCCTGTGAAGGGGATTTATCTGAATCTGAAAATAAGCATCTTTCAGATCTAGTAAAATGAACCAGTCCCCCTGGCACACGTGCGCGAGGAGTTTTCTCATAGTGAGCATTTTGAACGGTCTCTTCATGAGAACTTTGTTCAGAAATCTGAGGTCTAAGATTGGTCTGAGGCCGCCGTCTTTCTTTGGAACCAGAAAATAACGGCCGTAAAACCCTGACTCGCTCATAGCTAGAGGAACTCTCTCTATAGCCCTTTTGCACAATAGTTTTTCTATCTCTGAACCGAGCAGAGTCACTGCTTCTGGGTTCACAATAGTTTCTAGCCGCGTTTGGAAACGTGGAGGGCGGCGGTGAAACTGTAAGCGAAACTTTGACGGCGGTCCGGCCGTGGCGGGAGAGCGCCGTCTTTTCCTCAGCTGTGCTAGGCAGACTTTGAGTGATCAGGTTTCAGCGTGATCCTGGGCCGAGGCCCCCAGGGAGGTGGCGGTCTGTGGCGGCTGTCAGAGCGAGAATGAGGGCGGCCGCACTGGCGTCGCTGAGAAGTCTGAATGTGCTGCGCTGGGGTGGGGCTCGTGCAGGAGGCTGGACACGTGAGCGGCCAGCAGAGGAGCTAGCGCGACGAGGCAGAAAAAGATTCATGGCCTGGGAGGCTTTCTACACTTCGGAGAAACGGTCAACGATACCCGTGACACCAGATCCGAAGAGGCCGGATGAAGAGAGCGGGGCATTGAGAAAGGCGGCGCGCTCAGAATCTCCCATGTCGGCGAGTGTGAGCCACAAATGTCTTTCAGACACACAAATGGCGGCCATGCATTTCCCCAGGGCTTGAGCAGCAGATTTTGTAGCGCGAAGGGCGATGTCCGTGGCACTCCTCAAATCCGCGACTGAGGGAGGATTTTTTCCGCTCTCGTCCCATTCACGAAGTAAATCGCCCTGTAGAATCTGAAGGAAGGACATGGAGTGGAGTGCAGAGGCTGCTTGGCCGGCGGCTGAGTAAGCGCGGGCGTGAAAGCTCGGAGTCGCTCTCCAGGCTTTAGAGGGAAGCACAGGTGATGAGCGCCATCTCGTGGAAGGCGGGCATAAATGTGCGGCGACCAGGTCCTCTACAGGGGGAATGGAAAGATAGCCCTTTTCTGCGGCTCCGTCCACAACGCGAAGCGGGCTGGAAGAGTCAGAGCGAGTTCTGCCAGAGAGCGGGGCATTCCAGGACTTCGTGAGTTCCGCGTGCAGTTCAGGCAGGAAGGGCGCGGCCCGTTTAGTGACGGGAATCGAGCGCTGGCGGAAGTAGCTGCCGTCCATACGGTTGATGGTCTGCTCGGGGGGAGGGGACCAATCGAGCCCGAGGCGTTCGACGGCCTGTGAAAGGAGGCGCACTAATTCCTCATCGATTCCAGCGCGGGTCCCAGAGGATTCTCGGGCCGAGGAGGCGTGAGAAGCGAACAAGTTTCCTTGAAGTCCGCGGCGTCATCGGAGGCGACAGAGCGGCCACTCGGCGGCAACTGTACGTCCGGAAGCGGCGGAGAAGGAGAGCGGGAGGCGACAGGCTCCGGCGGGATGAACGCTTCCAGCTGGGGTTCCGGCGGCCTCTGAGAGCGGCGTTTCTTCTTCCGCGGCAAGTCAGAGGCGGCGCGGAAGCAACTTTAGTGGCCTGAAGTCGAGCCCGCAGGGTCGACAACGGCATCTCCTCGCAGAGAACGCAGCTGCCATCGGCGAGGGCGAGCTCGGCGTGCTCCAATCCGAGGCAGTGAGCGCAGATGACGTGACGGTCTCCAGTCTCAAGGGGAGCGCGCCAAGAACCGCAGGAAGATTTACGAGACATCTTTACAAAGACGCTCGGCTCTTTCAGATACAATACAATACAGGAAGCTTTTTCGTAAAAAGGATACAAATCCGTCGGATGGCGCTAGCTCGCAGGACGGCTGAAGGTGGCGAAGACGGCCGGCTTCCTCAGTCTCCCAGATACTCGCTAGAGTTGCCTTTTCGACGACGGCGGCTTCTCTCAGGATCAGTGTAGCCTCGCTGAAGAGATGAAAATCAGTGTTTACAGCCTGAGAGGCGAATTTATACTCTCTGACCACGCCCGTTTTGGCGGGCTCTGACGTGATGAGAGCATTTCAGACTTTCATTGGCCGAGAGTTCATTCGCGTCTCCTCATAGGCTTAAGCAGTTCTCTGTGAGCGAACCAATGAGCTGCTAGCTAGCCCGCTCATGGTCTGCTGCAGCTGAACTGCGTTGACAATGGATACAAAATTATAGGATAATTTTTTGGCTTCAATTTCTCAGAAAAGATTAATCTTTCCCGTAGCGTAAGCTAGCTTACGCAATACGAGAGTACCTCTCGTAAGAGAACAGCAGTATACGCGCGCAAGCGTGAACCACTAGTGTTTCTTCCACTAGCTCATGGCCTCAAGGGGCCGCGCGAGGATGGCATCCTGCACGCTCACTGTGCAGAAACGCGCCCGTGCGTGGATGGCATTCTGCGCGTGTATACTATTTTTTTTTGCCCTCGTATCCTGTGCGCGAGTTTTGAGACTAAATAAACGACGTAGGGCCGTTCACATATTGTGTCTTTTGCGCTCTCAAGGTCGCTATTTCAAGGCGCGCGGCAAGCGCGTTCATAATTGAAGCGATTTTTTCCAGGCGCTGTGAGATGAAAACTCTTCAACTTTTCAGAATGCCGCAAGCACACCGCATTTCATGTGACAAGAACCAACCACCATTGAAAGCTCAGTAAACATGAAGGATGGGGGGTGCACCCAAACACCACCGGTGTTTTTCTCTTCTCCGTAAATAAATCTTGTAGCAGAGCTACAGAAAGCGTTTTGCGGTGGTGAAAATCTATTAGGTACTACTTCTTTTTTTCGTTGTGGAGAGCGCAGTGCATGGATGCTTAGCAACGACAGACGCCACGGAAAAATCGGATCGAATTTTACTATTAATAATAAAAGATAAGCTAATGTGCATTAATGTCAAGTAATTTTTTTTTTTACTCATTCTTTTTATAAAAATGATTTAAAGGCTGAAATATGGGAGGTTTATCTTTTTACACCTTTTTGTGTGAAAAATGATTTAAAGGCTGAAAGTGAACATATTTACTATATGTGTCTAGGGTTGGGCCGGGGATGACGGGTTGGTGGCAATGTAAGTATCTGGATATTTTCCGCGGGGCGAGGCCTTCGATTACCTCTCTCTTTTTTGACCATACATGTGTTTGCATCCCTGTAAGTTGCTGTTTATAATATTCGAGAAGAAAGTCTGTCTAGCTTTGCCTAGTTCCATATTAAAAGCATGGATGCTGTCTTTGTAGATGTTATAATGGACTACAAGTTTTGTCTTCCGCCACATGCGCTCTGCTCTTCTGCATTGTCTTTTCATGTTTTGCACAGCTGTTGAGTTTCTCCAAGGTGCTTTTTGTCTACCACTATTTTTCCTGACTTTCACAGGAGCAATATCATCAATTACACTTTTAATTTTTGAGTTAAAAGATTCAAGGAGAAAATCAACAGAGTCAGCAGATATGCTTGGTTTTAAAGATATAGCCTTCATAAATAGCACACTAATGTTCTCATTTAAGCATCTCTTCTTGACAGACACAGATCTAGCTTCAATGGCAGGAGAGATCAATATATCAAAGAAAATACAGAAATGATCAGACAGTGCTACATCCTTAATAACAATCGATGAGATGTTTAGACCCTTACTGATAAGTAAAATCTAGAGTGTGTCCACGATTATGTGTGGGTCCATGTACATGCTGAGTCTGATCAAAAGTTTTGAAAACAGTTTTGATTTCTTTTGCCATATTGGTTTCTGCATTATCTATGTGAATGTTAAAATCTCCAGCAATGGCAAAACAGTCAAACTCAGAGGAAATTGTTGATAACAGTTCTGTAAAGTCCTCAGCAAAGGCTGGAGAGTATTTTGGAGGCCTATAAATAAAATAGTAAAATACGTGGAGCACCTTTTAACACAATACCCAGATATTCGAAAGACGGGTAATTCCCAAATGATATTTGCTTACATTGATAGACATCTTTAAAAAGAGCAGCTAAGCCCCCGCCTCTCTTACCCGCTCTGCAAACACTCATAAAAGTAAAGTTAGGAGGGGATGATTCATTGAGGACTGTTGCACTGCTGCTGTCTTCTAGCCAAGTTTCATTTAGAAACATAAAGTCCAGGTTACATCTGGGGATTGTGCAGGAGAGCTCAAAGATGTCTTCACGGACATCTTTAATATGTCTCTGAGCCAGGCTGTTGTACCTACATGCTTTAAAACTACTACAATAATACCAATTCCAAAGAAATCAACCCCATGACTATCGTCCAGTCGCACTGACTCCTATCGTCATGAAGTGCTTTGAACGGATAGTCCTGCAACATATCAAACACATTATTCCCCCTTCCCTGGACTCTTTCCAGTTCGCATATCGGGCCAACCGATCCGTCGATGATGCAGTTTCTGTTGCTCTTCATTCAGCTCTCTCTCACTTGGAAACAAAGAACTCTTATGTGAGAATGCTTTTTATAGATTTTAGCTCGGCTTTTAATACCATCATTCCACAGCAGTTAATACAGAAACTGGAACAGCTTGGCCTAAACAACTCCGTGCAACTGGTTGTTGGACTTTCTTACTGGAAGGCCACAGGCAGTTCGGGTTGGTATAAACACATCGAGCACCATCATATTGAACACAGGGGCCCCCCAGGGATGTGTTCTTAGCCCCCTGCTTTTTACTTTGCTAACCCATGACTGTTCACCAATGTACAGCACAAATCGTTTAATTAAGTTTGCGGATGACACAACTGTGGTGGGTCTCATCAACAATAATGATGAGACAAACTACAGAAATGAAGTGTGCCAATTGGCCAGGTGGTGCAGTGAAAACAATCTCTGTTTAAACATAGAGAAAACAAAGGAGATTGTTGTGGACTTTCGGAGAGCTCATACCCAGCACCCTTCCTTGACCATCAATGGTGTTGCTGTGGAGAGAGTAAGCAGCACCAAGTTCCTGGGTGTGCACATAACAGAGGACTTCTCCTGGTCTACAAACACCACATCACTGGCTAAGAAGGCCCAACAGCGCCTTTATTTCCTCCGCAAACTGAAGAAAGCTAGAGCCCCGGCACCCATCATGTACTCTTTTTATCGTGGTACCATTGAGAGCATCCTGACATGCTGCATCACTGTGTGGTTTGTTAATTCCACTACTCACAACCAGAAAATGCTGCAGCGTATAGTGAATGCAGCCGGAAAAATTGTAGGTGCTACATTGCTTCCCCTCAATGATATTTATAACTCACAACTAACCAAAAAAGCACTCAGCATAATGGGTGATTCCACCCACCCCTCACACGGCTTTTTTAGACTTTTACCATCTGGGAGGAGGTTTCGGAGCCTGCAGGCCCGAACCACTAGACTGACAAAAAGTTTTATCCACCAGGCCGTCAGGAAATTGAACTCTCTTCCTCCTGCCTTTTTAGTACTTCCCTCTTTGCACTGAACTTTGACTCTTTTCATAATAGCAAATGGGTATGCACACATGTATATATTCACGCATACATATAAGCATGCATACACACATGCACATACACACATACAAACATGCGCACACACATAGATGCATACATACGAACACAATGCACAAGACACTTTAAAACATTTTTTTGCTGCTTTTATACTATAATTTATTGAAACAATCAGGTGCCAAATGTTTGTATTTTGATTTTATATATAATTTTTGATTAATTGTCTAGTGTTGTGTTAGGGAGTTTAACACCATGGGTCTGACTGAAACGGAATTTCAATCCTCTTTATGTTCTGTACATGGAGTAAGAATTGACAAATAAATTGAACTTGAACTTGAACTTATATGTGGTTATTAAGTCGTTGACTAGAAGTGATTTATTTTTAAGTAAGCGGATGTTTAAAAGTGCTAACTTAACAGTCTTACTTTTTATCCCCACAGCGATCTTAGTTTGGCGTGTAATAGGCACCAGATTAGATGGGTTTGCTGTACGGCTTTTGAAGGCCTTAGATTTTCTAGCATGTAATTGAACAGCAATAGAGAAAGATTCAGGCACACTGGGTTCCCGCTTGTTTTGTAAACATTTAAGAAAGTTACTGTTATCATAGCGGGGACCCGACACATATCACTGAGAGTTGGTATCAGTTGTTTTTGGTTCACCGCGAGCCGCTGGAGGATGGTGTGGGCCCTGGCGCTGTGGCAGAGGCCGAAGAGCTCTCACAGGAGGAGGAGGGCGAGCTGGGCCCGCAGGCTTTGGTGGTTGTGGGCCCTGGCGTTTTTTGGTTGACATCTGGCGGCTTGCAGCAAAAGAGTGGGATAGTTTGGTTCCAGCATACACCAGTTGTTCCATTTTCTCTGAGAAGCACAGAAGTGGAGTTGCTGGAGAGAGGGATAACGTGTCTGGTGAGAGGGGCTGTTGTTCTGGTGTTATCGGAGGCTGTAATATGCTGTCCTGTATTCCCTGGCTGTTTTCCAGAAAGTCGTCCTTGGGTGCTGAAACTTCTAGCAGTTCTAGTATGTCACAGTCTGTTTGTGGTGAGCTCTGTGGGCAGGGCTCAGCTGAGATTGTGTCCGTGAGCAGAGGTTGTTGTGGCGGAGTGGTGTTATCATTGTCCTTGTGTGATGTGTCAGCCGCATGTCCATTCAGGTGCAGAAGTGAAGTCCTGTGGTCATTCATACTGTGTCCAGGTGTGTGTGTGCCATTCAGGTTGAGTGGATTGGCACACACTGCAGAAGGATGATGGAGGGAGAAGTAGATATTGTCCTTTAGCACTCGTCTTGAGCCAAGTTTGTTTGGGTGGAGCCCATCCTGTTGAAACAGTTGCCTCTGACTCCAGAAAAGATTGAAGTTGTCAATGAAGTTCACTCCTTTTATATTGCAGGTTTTTTGCAGCCATGTGTTAAGCCCAAGCAACCGTGAAAACCTGTTTGTTCCTCTTGCTGGGAGTGGTCCACTGATGAATGTCTGAACTTTCAGTCTTTTAAGTGTTTCAAAAAGTTCATTGAAATCCTTCTTAAGGAGTTCTGACTGCTCTTTATGAATATCATTCTTCCCCACATGAACAATGAGTCGATTTGCAGTCTTATGTTTCATCAGAATGTTCTGAAGTTCCCTGTTTACATCAGAAGTCGTTGCTTGTGGAAGGCAGCACGTAGTTGTGTCCCTGCTAATAATGTTTCTTATTATCGAGTCACCCACTATCAGAGTCCTGGGCTCGGCTGCGCTGTGAGCTGAGTGCCGCTGTCTGCTCGACCTTGAGCGCCAGTTAGCATTAGTGTTAGCTACTGGCTTATTCATTCTGTGTTCGATTACTTTCATCACATTCAGGGATTCCTCATTCATTAATACTTCAAATCTGTTCTCAAGATGTATAGCCGGTGGTAGGAGACCAGTGTTTGCAATCCTTGTCAGAGCCGTATCTGGGGTAGAGGATGCTACTGCGGCAATGTGTGATGCTCATGACAATCTGATGTCTCGAGTGCCTTTGGGTTTTGCTCCCTGTTTGTGCCATCGATTTGTAAGTCGATTGGCTTGTTTCTCTACACTTAGTATGGCCTGTATTGGAGCACTAGATTCATGGGACTCACCGGCTGTATGCTGAGGGCGTCCATGACGAAGCTCTGTTGTGTGTTCCGTCTGGTTTGGTGGTCCCACAAGTAACTTTGTTTCAAGAACTGCAATCCTTTGTAAAAGTCTGTGGCAGTTAGTGCAGCAAGTAGATTCCAGAAGAGGCATTTTCTCTTATCCTTATGAATGTAGGCAGTTGTGTTTTCTCTTCCCCGTAATGTAAGCTTTCAGTGGGAGGCTGGTCGGAGAAAAGAATTCTGCTTTTTTCTAGTAATCAAGCGTTTGAGCACTGTGCTGATTTGCTGAAGTTAAAATTAGGTGATAAAAGGAAATAAAATATAAAAATATAAACGATAGAGCAATAAAAAATATAAAAGCGATAGAGCAAAGTGCGGAGCAGTAAGCAAGAGCGTCCGAACAGTAGCTGAGCAGGAAGTTGTCTAAAAGATCTGGTTAAATCATTTGATTGAACAAGAATTCTGATTTTCTTCCAAGAACATGTTGCACAAGTTGTTAGCACTATTTGAAGACCAGGAGCAAAACATTACCGACAGAAATTCAAAAACAAATTGCCAAAATACTAATTTCGTGGATCAACCACTGTCTGTAATGTGGATTGTAATTTGTAATCGACCTGTCATTGGGACGACTATGAAGGTAAAATTATGTCTAAAAGAATCGCATGCGCAGGGTAAGATTTGTGAAAGTGTGCATAATGGTGTTAACCGAACGCGAATTTAATTATTTGCGCGAGTAGATTACATGCAAAGTCAATGCAAAGACGCGAATAGACGCATCATTCACGCCGGGCGTTGCGAATGACGCGAATTGGGCGACGCGTTTGCCGCGAATGTCTTCCGCGCAAGTTGAAAAATTTGAACTCGAGCGAATGTTCAAGCGTCTAACTAAACGCGATAGACGCGTATTTGACGCTCTATTCGCGTTCGGTGTGAACACACCATAAGATTGCAAGCGTAAATTACATTTGCATGCGCAAGAGAAGATTTGTAAAGGTGTAAATTGTGTTTCAAGCGTAAGAGAAAAAAAAACTGCAACATTTTGCTGGTTTTCGCAAGTGTAATTAAGGTATTGTGAAACTGCAGCTTCACGTTAACGCAAAATAAACATTATCTGTACTCTTCTGACTTCCATTTTTCCGCGCTTACACTTTTGCCACGTTTATTTCGCCTAAATACGGCCAAAATCATTGCCTGTGAACAGATTTGCAACTGTAAACAACAGTTTAAAGAACTGCAAACCGGATTGAAAGTGTAAAACCAATCTGTAGCCGTAAAAAATAAAATGTTGCACTTGTCTAAATTACTTGTTGTGTGCGTATAGGGACGGGTAAATGCTCCCGAAGTAATCTGGTTTGCACAGTTCCGAATTCTGCGCTCACAGTTTCGACACGATTCTCTCACTCACTGAGTTTTGCAAGCGCGAAGAGGAGGGCGGGTCCACCTTCATCATGTAGCCAATCAAATGAGCTTCTCACTGACACTCGATTTACTCTGATCTGATTGGTTCAACAAACACGCCAGTCACCAGAACACATTGTAGAAAAGGCCACCCCTTTGAATTGGACTCTCCCGATCTCCCCCGCCTCTGTTCGTGAGTTGGACTGTGCGAGAAAAGTTTCGGGAGAGTTAAGAAGTCAGATCGTCTGAATAGAGGATGTTTAGACGTGTTTATAGTGAATAACAGTTAAGTTCGATCGAAGTGCTGTCGTTCAAGGATTTAAAGATTATGTGTGTGCGTGCAGCTAATAGTAAGTACATTTGCATATTTATCGCATAATATGTCCGTGAGGGAGATTGAAGAGCGCTGTCGCAGCATTTTATCTGAGTATTCATATTGTTGGTTATGTTTGCACTTTGTATT